AGCATGAGAAGTGAGATCCCCAGGTAATTTCTATTGCAAAGTCGTCCTGTTGGTGAAAGTCAGGACCATGCGAATCTTTACTATCACTATCGCCTTTAAGTCTACTCAAAACTCCACAATGATTCACGCTACTTCTGATTGTAAATCTTTACTATCACTATCGCCTTTAAGTCTACTCAAAACTCCACAATGATTCACGCTACTTCTGATTGTAAATCTTTACAATAACTATCGCCTTTAAGTCTACCCAAAACTCCTCTATGATTCACGCTACTTCTGATTGTAAATCTTTCGTTCAGGAGTCAGGGCTTGTCATCACATTGATTTTAAGCCGATTTCCCGGGTATCTTTTAGAACCTGAACTGGATGTTTATTTACCAAAACGAATTGAGCTGTTTGGTCACTGTTTGCCGTTTGGTCACTGTTTGGTCACTGTTTGGTCACTGTTTAGGCACTGTTTGGTCACTGTTTGGTCACTGTTTGGTCACTGTTTGGTCACTGATTAGGCACTGTTTGGTCACTATTCGGTCACTGTTTGGTCACTGTTTGGTCACTGTTTGGTCACTGTTTGGTCACTGTTTGGTCACTGTTTGATCACTGTTTAGTCACTGTTTAGGCACTGTTTGGTCACTGTTTGGTCGCTGTTTGGTCACTGTTTAGGCACTGTTTGGTCACTGTTTGGCCGTATCTCGAGACACAGACTGATCTGTGTGGTTTTGACACTAGGCAGTAGTGTGGCTTTGTGGCTGTATAACTATAATTGACGATCATATACCAAATTAACCGCAGTACGTCTAGCCAAGAGATGGCACAGCAGGGTAGAGGACAAGCAACAACGACAATTGTTACTTGATATCAACCTCAATATTAATAGAGATTATTTGATTATGATTATAATATAATACACGAAGGAACTGTAACAGTTGAACTTTTATACAGTATTCACTGTGACAGTTAAGAAGTTGTAGTACAGTATTTGCTACAACTAGCTATCACTTACAAGCAGTAAACCCCTTCGCCAGCAACTAACCTGTATCTTATCTTGACTATGTGTATGTAATGTGTGTAATTTCAAATTTGTGCTCAAAGCATGACACAGTAACATATATTATTATTATATTCTATACTACTACGACACCGCATTTAAAATACAAATTGATTGAGCATTATTATATTCGCTACTCAAATAGAGTTTTTCAAACTGATGCAATGTAAATTAAAGCATGACATCGCTCCAAACTTTACTATACGTATACCTCATTTTGCAAATGAAGTATTACTATTGGAATCATGTCAATTCTGCATGAAATAGTTTTGTAGTGCTCGGTAAATTGCATTGGTTTATAGGGCAAATTGCATTGGTTTGGCGGATATTAGCTCATTCTACGCTTATTTCATGTCAAATTAGCGTATATTTTTCATTCATAAGATTAAAAGCGCATGTGCTACGCTCATGATACGATGTGAGCATTCATCAAAGGATGAAATTACATTCAAACCCCAACGCACTCGTACTGCATTTATATCACCGTTTTAGGCGTAATATGAGTGTGCTCCCTCGTCTGACGTCTTCTCGCGTTATTTGATTATAACTTTTAGAACTCTATATTATAACTTTAAATTACAACTTAACAGTATAAATCTATCGATTTTTTATGAAACAAGAATTACCCCGAACTTTACAGATTGAGACTTAAGCTTGTCTGGGATATATAGCTATTTAGTCATTATTTGATTAAATTTATTCGCTTGAATAAAAGTTTTGCACTAATTTAAATATCAAAACTCGAATAGGGTCCTCTCAGAGGTGCTTGCAATTTAATTAGGTCGTATAGTCAGTTCATATCATGATGGCGTAAGTTTTGACGCAGGCTTCCTAAAGCTCCTCAGTTTCTCATGAAATAATGAAATTCGCAATGATTCCCACCATAAATATTGCTGTTAATCAGCTGACGACCCAACTCCATTCAACTGTTATTGTTAATCTGGGTAAATTGTTCTACATTACCCCAATTTCTCACTACACCTAACTATTTTATTACAAAAATGGGAATCCTCAAAAACATATTTTTGGTGTGGAACACCAACACGCAGGAAGGCCTCTGGTATCACGTCAAGAAGTCGGTGTTAGGGACTAGAGACTTAGTTTCAAGGGGTTACAGTTATTATGCAGTCATATGATCTGGTAACACGAACACCTGTTCGCGAACACCTGTTCACGAACACCTGTTCACGAACACCTGTTCGCCGAACAGGGGTCGGGCAATCTGGATACCAATATCCATAACAAAAAGAAACGATCGTACAATGCTGATGACAAAGTTGCATTGTAAACTTGCGCTATCGATGATATTAACAATGATATAATTATAACACGCTATTTCATGGCTTCTTTTGGGGCCCTCCCTCCACAGCTGTGTAAACAAGGATTATTAATCAACAGTAGTAGTAGTAAGTAGTAGTAACACTCAACATGCACCGGTCTGTGGTGCGCTGCGAGCTAGTAAGCTAGTATTTCATAACAAGATGATTTCAATATTCGTTAATTATACGTTCAGCACCCTAACTTCCACAGTTTTATGTAGAGAGAGGAGTCAATGTTTGTTTTAAGATGATTATTAAGATATTTTAAGTATTTGCTTGATCAAGGTATTTGCCTGATCGCACGTTGTATTTCTCTTTTCGCCTGCCGGCAGGCCGGCATGGACAAGACGTGCTATGCAACATGTAGCAACTGATCGCTGCACCGGAAACTGATTAGTTAATCACTGTCACGTTGCAGAAAAATTTGGCAAACTTTCTCAAGTATCGGATTGTTTAAGCCTCTGCTACAAACTTCGTAATCGTTTACCATTTCTACCAGTTTTTTTTCAACGTTGGCATAATTCTGGTAGAATACCAACATTTTCGATAATTCCAAGTTTTGTATCAATAACCGACTATAGTTTAGTTGCTATATAACCGACTATAGTTTAGTTGCTATATAACCGACTATAGTTTAGTTGCTATATAACCAACTATAGTTTAGTTGCTATATAACCAACTATAGTTTAGTTGCTATATAACCAACTATAGTTTAGTTGCTATATAACCAACTATAGTTTAGTTGCTATATAACCGACTATAGTTTAGTTGCTATATAACCGACTATAGTTTAGTTGCTATATAACCAACTATAGTTTAGTTGCTATATAACCAACTATAGTTTAGTTGCTATATAACCAACTATAGTTTAGTTGCTATATAACCAACTATAGTTTAGTTGCTATATAACCAACTATAGTTTAGTTGCTATATAACCGACTATAGTTTAGTTGCTATATAACCGACTATAGTTTAGTTGCTATATAACCAACTATAGTTTAGTTGCTATATAACCAACTATAGTTTAGTTGCTATATAACCAACTATAGTTTAGTTGCTATATAACCGACTATAGTTTAGTTGCTATATAACCGACTATAGTTTAGTTGCTATATAACCGACTATAGTTTAGTTGCTATATAACCGACTATAGTTTAGTTGCTATATAACCAACTAAAGTTTAGTTGCTATATAACCAACTATAGTTTAGTTGCTATATAACCAACTATAGTTTAGTTGCTATATAACCAACTATAGTTTAGTTGCTATATAACCAACTATAGTTTAGTTGCTATATAACCAACTATAGTTTAGTTGCTATATAACCAACTATAGTTTAGTTGCTATATAGTATATAACCAACTATAGTTTAGTTGCTATATAACCAACTATAGTTTAGTTGCTATATAACCGACTTTAGTTTAGTTGCTATATAACCAACTATAGTTTAGTTGCTATATAACCAACTATAGTTTAGTTGCTATATAACCAACTATAGTTTAGTTGCTATATAACCAACTATAGTTTAGTTGCTATATAACCAACTATAGTTTAGTTGCTATATAACCGACTATAGTTTAGTTGCTATATAACCAACTATAGTTTAGTTGCTATATAACCAACTATAGTTTAGTTGCTATATAACCAACTAGAACTATAGTTTAGTTGCTATATAACCAACTATAGTTTAGTTGCTATATAACCAACTATAGTTTAGTTGCTATATGACCGACTATAGTTTAGTTGCTATATAACCGACTATAGTTTAGTTGCTATATAACCAACTATAGTTTAGTTGCTATATGACCGACTATAGTTTAGTTGCTATATAACCGACTATAGTTTAGTTGCTATATAACCAACTATAGTTTAGTTGCTATATGACCGACTATAGTTTAGTTGCTATATAACCGACTATAGTTTAGTTGCTATATAACCGACTATAGTTTAGGTGCTATATAACCAACTATAGTTTAGTTGCTATATAACCGACTATAGTTTAGTTGCTATATAACCAACTATAGTTTAGTTGCTATATAACCAACTATAGTTTAGTTGCTATATAACCAACTAGAACTATAGTTTAGTTGCTATATAACCAACTATAGTTTAGTTGCTATATAACCAACTATAGTTTAGTTGCTATATGACCGACTATAGTTTAGTTGCTATATAACCGACTATAGTTTAGTTGCTATATAACCAACTATAGTTTAGTTGCTATATGACCGACTATAGTTTAGTTGCTATATAACCGACTATAGTTTAGTTGCTATATAACCAACTATAGTTTAGTTGCTATATGACCGACTATAGTTTAGTTGCTATATAACCGACTATAGTTTAGTTGCTATATAACCGACTATAGTTTAGGTGCTATATAACCAACTATAGTTTAGTTGCTATATAACCAACTATAGTTTAGTTGCTATATAACCGACTATAGTTTAGTTGCTATATAACCAACTATAGTTTAGTTGCTATATGACCGACTATAGTTTAGTTGCTATATAACCGACTATAGTTTAGTTGCTATATAACCGACTATAGTTTAGGTGATATATAACCAACTATAGTTTAGGTGCTATATAACCAACTATAGTTTAGTTGCTATATAACCAACTATAGTTCAGTTGCTATATAACCAACTATAGTTTAGTTGCTGATGATTTAAGTGATGGTGAAGACGTACAGAGTCGCACAAGAACACGTACACATTATATCACCATCATCCTTTCTTAATCTACTACTAGTGTTCATATACCTAGTTCACCAAGCTTATTCAGGTAAATCTCAGATGCTAAAGAAAATCTTTATTTTGCACTGCAACATATCTTAGCGAGTCAGAGTTCTTACATTATGCATTATTGGTATGTTAATTATACTTACATATTCGTGATATTACATAATAATGCGGAGATAAGATGTTGTTAAAGTCCCACACCCCTCTACAGATGAGGAGGTGAGATTAGGAGAGGGCGGAGTAGTGGAGCTGTACCACCCGGAGCTGAAGGAGTGGGGTGGGGTGTGTGGCAGGAACCTGACAGATGAGGTGGCCCGGGTGGTGTGTGGGGACCTGGGACTGGGTAACACTGGTATTCTGGTACCACACCACACTTCACGTGTTTCAGTACAGGTTTGTTTGTTGTAGCGGCCCTATCTGCCCCTTGTCAGATATCAGTTTTTAAGGAGTGTATTCCACAGTCTACATTCAATAGTACTATGGGAGAAGTATGGATAAAATACGCTTAATCTGTCAACGACATACCTCTAAACCACAAACCACAGAGATCGTACTGGGATAACATGAGGTGTGATTACGCCTCCTCCACTCTGGCTGACTGCGTTACAAACCGGTTAGATAGTCCGATATCCTGCGGGGAGGAGAACAAATCTCAACTCCTTATCGTTTGTGGAAGTAAGTTTTAACTTTTATATAATATAACCAAATAAGTAAGTTATAACTTACTTACTGGAATATTGCTCAAGTTTTATTTTGTAATTGAGTATAAAGCTGGATTTATCGTTTTAAACTCTTCAATTGTTCGTCAACATATAAAAATGGATCTAAAAGAAGACGTTATTAAAATGTGCAGGACTAAACTCAGAGCTGGATTGTGATAACAGTATTATAGACCAGTACTACAGGACAACTTGCAATCTACACGATATTACCTCTGATAACAACATCCACCAGGTTTCACAACATTCTTTATTCTTCTATTACTATTTGAGTGCTCTAACATCCTAATTAGAAAAATATGAAATATTCCAAAATAATCTCCTGTTTCAATGTTCAATACAAAGTGGCACTAGTAATCCCTGTCTCCAACATCTGATTACTAAGTACTGGGGTCGGAGAGGACACTCTCAATGTAAATACCTGATATTATGTTTCCAATTGAACAGGTATTCAAATGTTGGAACAGCAGTGTTATTTACACAAGACAGAAGAGGGACTTCTTCGGTGGGGAGATGTGCGTTTTTAGCAACTTTTGCCCGGAGACTGCTTCCAATTACCAGGTATTATTTGACGGAGTGTCTTGTTGTTGGTTGAAAGTACGTCTCGTCAAAATTTGGTCCATTTTTTTGTTATTTCCTGCCCTTAATTGAACCCGGGCACCATGTGGCTAATTGAATATTCAAATTTGAAATGACAGCACTTTTCAGAATTGTAACACACAAAATTGAAAATAAGCAATCTCACAACCCAGATTTGGGAGCTCTCCTAACACCTCTCTCTCTCTCTCCAACCAGGGCTGTGGATGTCCAGGAGTTGGGGTATCAGATAGAAAATGTGATACGCTCATCTGTAACTACCGTCATGATGAGGCACACCCTATAGTTGCTCTCGATTCTATATATCTCTGCGACGGGTACGTTCTTTCTAGCATATAATTTTACGGTATATTGAAGTTAAACTCATGACTGATAATAACGATCAAATTTCTGCACCACTCAGATTCACACATCAAACCCTCGTGTAACAGCTTACAGTTTGACACAGGCTAGCCACAACCTGAAAACCCCGCAGGTATTTCGACTGTGAGAACAAGGAAGACGAGATGGGATGTGAGAGCGAGGTAGTGTTTGAGTGTAAAATGGGACCTACTGACAAGGAGGCTCAGAGTGGCAGACTACCCCAACTATACATTTGTGATGGGTTCGTATATTTGCTCTTTAAAAAAAGATATGTATTACATGTATATATAATTGTTTTTTAAAGATATATAATATTTATAACAGGAAACGATGTAACAGAGTCAATATATTTTAATGCTGCCATGGGGTGGCAAGTCCCCATAAATTGCATCGTAGTCCGATAGTTTCACTGCATCCTAATATACATATTCTGATGACTTTCTATTTATCAAAGCTTTCTTTGGAAATAGAACTTTCAGTACCTCAATCGTGTCTTGTGCCATCCTCAGTGACCTTATTGCTAGATGATCATTCAAGAAAAATTCAGTCAAAACAGTAAAATTTGGGTCGCGGAAAGCTGAAATCTGAAAATGTGCTACCGGTAGGACATTTTCAAAATGTTCATTCCGTCAAAGTTTTCTCCGGATATACTGCTTCCAGTACCTGGCTTGAGCTACTCTGACCGACCTTACTGATTGGTCACTGGCCAAAAATTCAGCTAAAACCGCGAAACTTCGGTCAAGGAGACGGCAGTACGACATTTTCAAAATGTTCATTCACACTCTGTATATTTAGTTTTATTTGCTTAGCTGCTATTGTTAGACAAGCAGAAAGTTAGAAGGAACGAGCTTAATTAAAGGAGTAGAGCGTTGAGAAGGTAACATAACTTGACAGTCAGTCTCCATCACAACCCTCTTCAGGCAGGCTGATTGTATTGACGGGGAAGATGAGTTCAACTGTAAATACTCAACCGGAGCCTACTGTCACATCTCAGACTATAAAGACAACACCCACAACGGTACCTCCTTTGTAGATAAGAGACATGTCTGTGATGACAAACCCCAGTGTGATGCAGACTCAGAGGGTCAAGTAGAGGATGAGAAGAACTGTGATTCCCTCAATGATATATCCATGAATTGTGCTAAATTCGGGGGGAGCGGAGAGATAGTTCCGATAGAGAACAAGCAGAGATGCGAGTTCCCGAACATGACGTTCCTGGACGGGTACTGTGAGGGTTACATAGACCAGATGAACTGCACCAGGGAGGACGTGTTCGTGTGTACGGTGAGGGTGGGAGAGGACGCGGAACATGTGAACACTAGACTCAGGAGACAGTGGGTCTGCAACAACAAGGTCCTCTGTGCTGATGGGTCTGATGAGTGGTGTCATGAGATATCAGACACTTGTCAGGTTAGTTTATTAGCAGGTGGGTAACGTTACTGGAGTATACTGGTATACTCTGGTATACTCTGGTATACTCTGTAGAGTAACGTTACTGGTATACTCTGTAGAGTAACGTTACTGGTATACTCTGTAGAGCTTGCTATTGCAATTATAAAACCTTTCAAGTGATCAGCACGAATATCTGAATACAAGTAGATTAATATACAAACTGATAGCTTGAATGGTAGATTATATCGATATCTTTGACAACCGACTCAATATCACAAGTACCAGGTTCACAAACACCAGCTCTGTGACGGACACGACGACTGTGAGGGTGGCCCGGACGAGTGCCGCTCCATCTGCCTCACACTCTCAGAGAAGGTCTGTCAGAGACGGCTCATCAGCAACACAACCCGCGAACTCCCTCTACCAGTAGCGTGGCTGTGTGACGGTGAGGTGGATTGTTTGAATGGGATGGACGAGGATACAGAAGAGTGGCAGATCTGTGGGAGTGGGACGGAACAGAAGTGTTATCCTAACACTCCAGAGTACAACTGTACCCAGGGATTCAAGTGTCCGGATAAGTTCAGTACGTACGTGAGCATGGCACAGCTCTGTAACTACGACGAGAGTTGTGGAGGTTCTGAGAAAGTGCTGTGTGAGATAACTAAAGGTACCTCTGCTACAACCCAGAACTCAATCCTCTCCATCAACTCAACCCAGTACATTCCCCCCTGTGTACCCGGACTACCTGACCGCTCCAACTGTACCACAGTCACAATCCCACCGCTCACAGCCCTGGCGACCATCACCACCATCCACCTCCCCGTCAGTCTCCAACACGACAACATCTCCACACGGTCATGTGACCAGGTGTTCGGGGAGGAGTACATCCTCCTGCTCTGTCAGGGGTTCTGTGACTCTGGGGAGACTTGTCCGCTGCAACGTGTCTCAGATACGGCTTGTATTGGCAGTAACATGGTCCACGTTCCGGGAAAACTGGACCATAAGGTCCATAAACTGCTGAGGTGAGACTACCTTCAAGACTACTGAATACCAAATAATAATTATATTAGTTTGTTCACATTGAGATTGCCTTTTCAAATTGAAATTTCAAATTTTCATTTTCTGTAAACTTGTTTCCCTTTACTTCTACAAAACCCTTTACTTCTACAAAACCGTCAAATTAACTTTAATCACCTCAAGGTACGATGACAAGTACCACGAGACAATATTCGTGTGTGACAACGCGAACTGTGTGGATAAGAGCAAAGTTTGTGACCTTGTAGACGACTGTGGGGACAGCAGTGATGAGGATAGCTGTCACAATAACTTTCCTTGTGGATCTGGTGAGTATTAGTGCCCCTCCCCCATCCCGTCTCTCAGCAATTGATGTTAAATACCAATACGAAATAGCATGGATGAGGTTGACTAAGAAAGCACAGCTCGGAACGATAGTTTGTGCACAAATAAAATTATCTAGAGCAAAAACTCGCGGGAATTTTTTTAAACTGACGAATGAATCATGAAATTGAAACGTAACTGCTTACCTAATAGTAATCAATTTGCGGCTTGCGTGTTGTTTGACGTTTATATCGTTAAGGGTGCACCTTTTCCTTCTGTTACTTTTTCGTACCAGCCTTAGCTGAACAAATTTAAATTTTAAAATTATTTTAGATAAATACAATAAACTGACCAGGTACACCCCGGTACATAAGAAAAGGACAAGTATGTGACGGTACCCACGACTGCAACAACGACAACCACACCGACGAATGCAACGAGGAATGCGGATCTCAGGAAATAATAAACGGCGCATTCCTTAAACTCTGTACCTTCCTAATCGGGGCAGCCTCCATCCTGGTAAACATCTACATGGTAGCAGGGATAATCCGGGACAACATGATCCTCCATTCCCGGGCTCAATTCATCAACCTGTCCCTGGTCCTCCTCATATCCCTGGGGGACTTCTGTGTGGGGATATACCTCCTGAACGTGTTCGTAGTAGATCAGGTTTACAGAAAGGGATTCTGCCCGGGCAAGTACGAGTGGGTAACCTCAGGACACTGCACTTTATTAGGGGTTCTCTCCACCTTCGGCACTCAACTCTCCATCTTCACCATGCTGTGTCTCAGTGTGTACAGGGTGTTTACGCTGAAGAGTATGGGAGGTAGAGCTAAAGTGACGTCACAACACAAGGTATACATGAGCTGTATAGCTGTGTCGCTATCTCTCCTCTCCCTATTCATCGCTGTTATCCCTATAATGGACTATACGGAGGACTACTTTACTAACGGACTGTATTATCAGTCTAATACTCTGTTCAACAAGGTTGCTAATCTCCATGTCCACAAAGATTTCATCAACCAGTACAAGATATTCTCTGCTGCCCATAAGAACAATGACAGTTTGTATGAACTGCAATCCTATTACTCCTGGAAACAGGTTAGGATGTTCATGGCGGAGGAAGTTTTCTCGGAAGGGTTAGAAGTCGAGGGTAAATCTCTTAAATTCTACGGAAATGACGGTGTTTGTTTGTTTAAATATTTCGTGTCCCCCGATGACCCACAGCGGATATTCAGCCTTGCAATCTTATCCCTTAATCTCATCTGCTTCACCATCATCTCCACAACATATATCTCTGTTATCATGACGGCCAAAGGTTCCTCCAACAAGACTTCCACTGTCAAGGACTCGAGGAGTACCCAACTGCAAACCAAAATCACTCTGATGGTTACGAGCAATGTGCTGAGTTGGGTTCCGTTTGGGGTGATTTGTCTTCTTCACACCTTGGATAAGATTGATGCCACAAGATACTACAAAGTGAGCTCCATAATTCTCCTCCCCATTAACAGCTGCGTGAACCCCATTATATACAGCAATATCTTGGTGGATCTGTTCAACTGGGTAAAACGTAAAGTCCGTGGTCAACATGTTTTACCTGTTGTCGAAATGAAGGAACAACTTGACCACTCTTTCGTGTCTTCCAGTGCCCGAAATCTTAAGACCCTAAAGAGGTCGCTAAGAAAAGGTTGTAAAACTAAGGATGTCGATAAAAAGTATGAAAATAACGACATCTCTCAAAATGGTCATCACAGTTCCATTACACTGGAAAAAATATCAGAAACAATGACATGATATTTGTTAAAGTTTGTGATATATATTTTGTTAGTGTTAAATAGAGATTAAGACATACTGTTCTCATGAAAATGATAAAATACATTTACAAAATGTAGTCTTTTATATAGTGGTTCTCTAAAAATCGATCGAAACCCATTGAAATTACATTTAATAAAAACCCACATTACAATGACAGACTATATATAATGACAGACTATAGTTCATATCATACTATATGGTACGAGTCAACCCAAACATAAATTTGCAATCTCCAACCACCTTTTAACGATGTCAAATTTACAAGAAATTGCTTGATATAATAATCATCTTAAGATAACAGGTTTTATCATATTGTATCATGAATATGGCAAACAGCGTTCATAAAACAACAAATAAGCATCAGCATTCAAAACTCTTTTTACAGTTGTTTCTGAAATTCTCTCGTCATTACAGAAATACCATTTATCATAATCGTTCTCTTTCTCAGCGTTCAGCGTACCCAGAAGATTTATAAGTTCCGGCAGTGGAACTGACTTATCTTTAAAGCTCTCGTCCATGCTAGTGTCTCTTTTTCGAACATAAGCGGTGTAATGGCCTCTGTGTAGGGTTCCAGAATGGTCGACAACCCCAAACAGCTTGTATTTGTTCCCTGATCCACTGATGATGAACTTATCCAGATCCAACACAAGGGGATAGTTGATGTGGCGACGGTCTTTAATCAAGAACCCTTTGTGGTCTTGAGTAAAACGCTTCAGGTGGATCACCAAGATCGGTGGCAAAGTGTTCAGAAAGTAGCGACATTTAGCATCTCTCAACACTGGCTTGATTTTTTCTTCGGAATCCGAATCATCCGAATTTTCGTCATCCGACATAGAAGAGTCATTGGAACGAGCACAGGAAATATTGAGGGAATTATTATCAATACAATGGCGAGCACAGTTAGCGCAACTAAACTGATTGTCACCGGTGAGCAGCTCCTCTCGACAGAACTGAGCCAGACACGCATCAAGAGTATCAGTACCAAAATCTGCCTCATCTATATCTAGTGTATCATTACCCATGTCTAGGTCACCCATCTGGGTGGCCAGGTTTTCGACGGACGATTTTGTCCCGTTACTGGATTCTTCATTGTCCTCGTTGAACAGCGAAAATAACATTCCGTCATTTTCATCCTCACTGCCACACGAAGCACTGTAACCCCCTCTGAGTTTCCCTTCTGTATCACCTGCACCACTTTCTACTTTATCAGCTCCATTTTCTGGAGGTAATTCCAAACAAATATCGGCCACATCGTCGTCATCAAACTCAATATGTACCTCTTCGACAGCTATTGTTTCCGACTCCACAGTGGCTGCATTGCAGTCAGTATCTGAGTCTACACCGTTCATCACTGTGCAGATGTCCTCGCTCCAAACCCTTGGCGAGGGGAAATTGTCTGCTCCCTGCAGTGGCTTTTCATTTGCTACGTTCACGTTATTAGATAGCTCAGTGGGCTCCGGTGATTGGATTGGATTGATCTGCGGACTGGGCGGACAACTCACGGAGGAATTCGGAGACATGGGATCGGCACTTCCATTCGACAAATCAAGCGGGGAATCAGGTTGGGCTGGACATGAGCTGTCTTTTCTATCTCTTCCTTTCTTTCCCTTCTTCCGGTTCTCTTTTTGCTGTTTCTTCTTTTGATGCTTGCTGAGGCCATCGTCTCCAGAGCTCTTCTGTTTAGAACGAGACTTGGTTTCTCCCTTCTTTGGTAAAGGAACTGATAAATCAACAAAATGGTCCAGAGTTTTCGTTACTCTGGAACAAGTTAGGCAAGTTATTTGGTTGATGGTCGTGCCACCGAATAGGCTGTCAATAAAAGATCCACTTCTTGCCAAATTCGCAAACTCTGTTATCTTTTTCCTCTTTTCTTTTGGCAAGTCTTTATACGTGGCACGGATGATTCCGAATGTTTGCAAAACTGCATTTTTTCTGCGTTTTGATTCTTCACTGCTCATAGAGTGTACAATAGCGTGAAATGCCTCTTGGGCATCTTGCTGTCCGTCAGAGAGACACCCGTTATATGAACACATCTCTTGAAACACCTGAAATATGGACAGTTAACTTAAAGCTATTACAATACTATCCAGTGTGAAATAAATATTTAATTCCTTCCGGCTTCCAGGTAGATAATCTGATATTCAGCTGACCAGGAAAACTATTATTAGTCGATGGATCATTCGATCGATCCAGTCCAATGTGTACGGCGCGCACAAAAATTGTTGGCTTTGTAACCGCTCACGTTTGTGTGCCAGCTATCATTTTGTCGCAGCGCGTTACAACAATCACGTGCTCAAATTATTTATTGCCAATGTCACATGCAGGCAGTGGTAAACACATCTGGATCTTTTCCTAACAAGCGTCAGTCACACTTCACAAGAAATACTGCCAAATTCGATAAATACTGAAACTCATGCATCAAAACACGAGCCTTAAATCGGCAGTGGTTGGAAATATTGTGATAATGTTAGTGAGTGACAACGCCAGTCAAGGTTTGAAGTAATACAAAATAACATTTTCTTTTCACCTGATAAGCGTGGATGGCTTTACTGCCCCTTTCCTTGAAATCCAGGAGTTTCAAGAGGGACTTGTACTTGGTAACCATGCTGGAAGCAGTGCCACTGGCAACGTTAATGTGTACTGTGCCATACGTTTTACTGACCAATGTATCTTTGTAATTATCACTGGTGTAGTTCATGCAAGCTCGCAACATGGGTGTTTGCACCAGGTTCTGCAGCACAGAATTAAAGAAACAGATAACGCCCGTATTTTTTAGTCCTATAACATGGTGTTCCGTTAAGGTGACTTCGGGTACCGCCTCCCTTGTAGTATCCTTCGTAGAATCCACTGTTCCATTTGTGTGTTTTTGTTCAACTACCACTGGTTCTTTTTTAGGTGAAACAACACCGGCTGTGGCGTTTTGTTTCTTCAGAAAAGTCCCCAATAAGGTTGGAAACCCGCAGTATGGACGAGTGAGACTGCAGGGTAAGGTCACGTGCACATTTACTGCACCTCACCACAGCCGTATCTAGCTCGAAGTTTAGCGAGTGGTTGTTGAGATCGAAGTGCTTGTCACCGTGTGTCGTACAGAACTGTTTGCCACATTTCAAACATAAGTAGATCTTTTCTTTAATCGAACATTCGCTACATCGTCCGAATACTGCGTGGGGGAAATTGTTCTTCACCTGAAAAAATGTCATATTACATATCAAAATATCTCTCTCTCAAATAATTGCTATATGAGTTTGTTAACCACAGTTTGCTCACAATACTAATCGTTATTTAAGTAGTGTGACCACCTAAATCCTCGCCCATAACACGTAACCTAGCAACCATTATCTTCTCAATATCAATTATACCACTATGCAGTATGCAAGTAATAAATCCCATAAGCTTTAATGAACGTAATGCTTTTACTTAATAGGTAGTTCCTGTCAATAAAATGCGACACATTTGGAAAGTCCATTACGCAGTCTCAGCTATGGTATTATTGCTCACAGGTTGCACAGACATTAGTAAAGTCAATAATGAGATGGAAAATGTTCACGCAATCTGATTCTAGGCAAGGAGTAGTCGGGTCGGGTTTTAGAAAATAATTGACCGAAAGTTCATTAGTACAGCGAGATACTGTACTACATCCATGATTTGACCAGGATAATGGAATTGCCTCAGCCTGGGTTTGGAAAACCAGGCCTCGATTTCCCTGGCTGTGGTAAAATATAAATAACTTTTTGGTCTCGGTTGATCACTGTTCGATCCACATATGTTTTGACCAAATAATAAAATAAATTCTTAAAACTTACAGTAAAGTAAGTAAAAATTAAGGTCTCTGGATCGAAACTTTCAACAAATCTTCTCTCAAAAGGTGTAAATACATCTGTCACTCTCTTAGTCTGGAACGTTTTAACACAAATACAGATTTAATATTCGTAAGGTGGGATAGGAGATCAAGAGGTCAATAACTCTTACATTGACCAATTTGTTAGCTAAACTGGTATTCTAATGTGACTGGTTACATTATAAACATTCTCCCATTAGTAAGTACAACATCCGCTAAATCAATTCTATTCCAGGAAATACAATTCAAGAACACATAATTCAAGAACACTTAAATTCAAGAACACATAATTCAAGAACACATAATTCAAGAACACATAATTCAAGAACACATAATTCAAGAACACATAATTCAAGAACACATAATTCAAGAACACATAATTCAAGAACACATAATTCAAGAACACATAATTCAAGAACACATAATTCAAGAACACATAATTCAAGAACACGCCCTTTCTTACCTTGTTAGGAGTTATGGATTTCTCAGCATGAGGGCAGGGTGGTGGTTCATCCGACTGTACCATGTACTTGCTAGCACTGTTCCGCTTCTTCCGACGAGACATGACATTAGCTATTTGTAATATTGCACTTAATAATATTGATCAAACAATTGTTTTCATTCCAAAAGAAATATACATTATACAGGGTGGCCCAGAAGTAACTGCCTACACGCAACCCTTTGATAAATCACGTAATTTTTCTTAGAATTGCATACATATTTCAGAGAATATAGATAGCAGTCAAACTTAGATTTCCTGAAAGTTTCGTAAAATTGATTAAAAAGGGTGTGGCACGCCACTCTCTATTTTTCACTATTGTCAGTTGTCATCATGCCATAAAGCGAGAACGCTTTCAGCTGGGAACTCCAAAATTTCAGACACATTTGGTTTGATAATTGAAGTGCTGTCCCAAAATTTCAAGTTGGTTGTTCACAATTTAACCGAGTTATGATCTTGCAGATACGTGATCTCTGCACTTATGTGCTCAAGGACAAACCAAAGAAAATTGTTCAATTGACAATGCTGCTGTGTAACCTTTCTCGAAAACACATCTTAGTTAAAATTAATTGCACTGCCATATTCTTCACAGTGCAGTGTAATGCTCATTTAGCAGCGAATCTGCTCTTTATTATCTTACTTGCAATGGAGAAAAATGTTTTGTTATACAAATTTAACAATGGAGAAGTCATTTTGCAGGGATTCTGTAATAATAGACTTGAACCAAACACTAAAAAACAATAAATGAATTAATAACATGAACACTAATCTTTAAAACATTAAACTGAAAATGTTGCGTCGATAATACATGATAAGATATACATTTTTAGCTATTATATAATACAGCGCGAGCGGAGCCAAAAGTCAGTGCACATACGTTGGGTCTTATATCACCGCCGTGTTTTATATTTGAGACTTATGACTTTGCAGACAGTATACTGTAACTACTCATTCGAGGATTTCAGGGCAAATGTAATTTGAATGGCCAAACACAATCCAATACAATTTGGCTCGACCCGATTATCCAAACTATCAAATAAATGAATCTTCATTTGAAAAAATGAACGGGAGTATTTTTCAATTTAACATATTCCTCGAATGAGTGGTGATAGTAAGTCATACCAGAAATAATTATTTCATGTGCACTAACTTTTGGAATAAGCTAACGGGTCATATTATACACATTAAGTACAATTTATAAAATCTAAATTAACATTTACCGAAGTTGATAGCTTTTGATGAAATAGAAGGAAAAAAATCCAGAAAACCCTGACTGTACAAAAGCTGACAAAACATATTTTGCAAAAATTATTCATAAATTGACTTTAATTTCATTCTTGTGCAAAATGATGATGAAAATCTAAAATATATGGCTACAACAAGCATTTTAATAACAATATTTATTGTGCAAAAGATAATTTTTGAAATTAAGAAAAACGAAAAGGATGTGTATAACTAATGTCTCAGTTGTCAGAAATAGGAACTATTCTAACAGTTATTGTTGGATTCAATATCTTTGCACCATAATGTCCATTCCAAAATTTACCATCTTTGGCTGACTCATAATACCAAAACACTGTTCCTTTTGATGTTTTAAGGTCAATAGTTTTACTAAGTTTCAACCATTTTTTACCAGCTGGAATGTTTTCCTTGCCAAGAGGAATGTTTTCACAGTTATTTTCATCACTTTCGCGCTCACCAGCACCATAGAGGATGAATGCACGGTACTTAGAGTGACAGTCATACCTAGCAGCAATCCAAACAGTCCAATGAAGTGTTACCTTAAAGCCGTTTGTGATAAGCTTTGCTATGTTAGGGTACCACTTGGAAAGATCAATCTTTTGTTGGCGAAGGCAACTTGAGTAAGATGTCACACAATTATATCTTGCAAATCTGGCCTCAGCTGGAAATGGATCACAACCAACATGCCGTTGAATTTTCCAATCTCCACGAGAATAATCCCAATGTTTAGGATTTGGGTTAAAATTCTCTTCCCCAGTTAGATCAGCTTTCCCGACATCCATGTTGATATTCCTCAAAAGATTTGATTTACATTGTAATTGATAATAGCTTATCATTTCTTTTCTATCGAACAATATAAAGTGCAAGATATCAGGTGCTGAGTGTATATTCACCTCCTTCAGTCGCCCAATCCATGTTATACTGTCATTCATTGCACAGTTCCAGTGTTTACTCACAGAGCACACAATTGGAAAGTCTTCCGGCTCAATTAACTGAAAAATTTTACACTGAACCTCATAGGGTAGGTCCATGAAGGATGTCATTTGAAGAGACTTGTCTTGTTTACCTCCTGGGAAGATGTGTAAAATAAATGAATGCTTTAGTTCAACTGAATTGTTAAATGATGCTACCAGCACTAGGAGCCTTAAAACAATGTTAATATCAAATTAGAAATCTGAAATTTTGCAAGCTGTCTAGATGTTGACCGGTTGAATTCCGGCAGCTTTTAAACCGGACCAGGTCTGAAACCGGATTCAGACGGATATTTAATTTAAGATGTTGTAAAGTGATAATTATAAAGCAGTTGTTACACCTAATAACTTAATAAAACAGTTATAATGCAATTTTAATCTTAAATTTGATCCAACATAACAGCTGTTGAGCAATGAAACGCAAACATAATCTTAGCAAAATGCAATTTTACATATTATTATATATGATAAATATTCTGTTAAACTGACAAGGTCACTGCAACTGTGTCCCGGCTCAATCACATCATAAACTACAAGCGAGATAAAGTAATACAACATCAGGCCTTATACTTTTAAAATTTTACCGATGTTTATTCACAAGATATTTAAATCCCTAATTAATAAAGTAATCTGGTTCAGTTAATTAATTGCATTTTAAAGTTTGAAGTTTTAGTGATATCTTACTTCAACAGAATCTTTGAGCTTATCAAATAGACTACACATGCAATGATAATCCTCAAATTTACCTTCAAAAGGAAACATTATTACTGTGCACTTAACTCGTGCTCGTGACATGGCAATATATAAAAGTTCTGAATCAAATGAAACCTTTGCAGACCCTGGCCCTTCAATCAGTGTCTCATTTCCAGAATCATATAACGTTTGCAGTGCTATAACTGCAGGCCATTCTTGTGAAAATGTTGATATCACCCTCCTTGGTGTAATATTCTTTGAAAATAATATTCCATCAAAAATATTTTTTTCTAAATTTTCATTGTCATCCCAAATATTGTAAATAATACCTACATCATTACTATCTATCATATCATCAAAACATAATTCATTAAATTCTTTGTCAAAAATAGAATATATAAGTTCCTCATTAAACTTTTGCAGAACATGAACGATAGTTTTTGGTCCATGTATGTAGTGCCCAGGGGCTTGTAAAATGGCGAAATCATTTTTAAATGTTGATACAAAGTTTCCCGGCTCAATGATATATTCTCGAATGACTGACAATGTTCTCGACAAGTCAGATGTGTTTCTCAAATTCTTTGATAGACTTACAAGCTGTGTAGATGATAATTTGTCGTTCAAAAGTGTTGCTAGTTTAGAGTCGTGTCTTAAAGTTACCTCCTCATCATCAATATAAAGATAGCTTTGTAACGTGTCACATGAGATCCAAACTTGACAAGAACATGACTGTTCAAATAATGCTTTAATTATCTCATAGTCTTTATTCATGTCTTCTTCTTCTTTATCCAACCTGAACACTCCTTGAATATCGTCGAAAAACATGTGAATTCCTTTTCCTTGAAATAAACGTATAATGTGTATTAGCGATATGTTATTGATATGTTCGATATCCCCAGTTGTACCATTTAAACTCTGAAGCATTATTATGACAACTTGATTGTCATTAAGACAGCCTTTTATTTTACGCCAGAGTTCATCAGGAGGTTTACCATCCACTTTTGTAAGACAAATAGAAACGTGCTTAACACCTGCTTTTTGTAGCGGCTTATGTAGATGCTCTGGGGATGTCATGGTACCATTAATGTCACACGTTTCACAGAATAACATGATTTTGTTATTTTCACTTGACAATGCTAGTTGTAGTATCTTAGCTAGTAGTACAACAGTTTTGCCAGCTCCAGCGGGTCCATTGATCCACAATAACTTCTCATCTGAATGTATTAAATCGTACTGTTGTTTAGTCAAGTTGTCTATTCCTAAAAAGTCCTTGACGATCTCGGGTGATGGAATGACGTCAGGGTTATTGGTTCTGAAGGTAAATTTTCCTGAACGCAGTTGTTCGTTGATGTTCACTATACACTTTCCCAAACTACACTTGGACTTATCACAAATGGTCGTATCTGTACACCATATAGCTAATAATAAGTTCCTGACATCTTCATGTTTGGTGCGAAACTCAGGATGCAAAGGCTCATCCAAGATTAGATCACTTACATTGTTGTTCCACCAATCACTAAAATCTGCCAAATCTTCTTTGAAAATTATTGACGAAAGTTTATCCCTGCTTATCAGAAATTCTTTCTTGGATGCCTTTTCAAAGTTGGGGTAAACGGTAAACTGGAGAACTGTTAACCGTTTACAAAATCTTTTAACAAATTGTACCATCTTGTTCCTCTGGTCCAGTGATTTCTGGAACGTTTTGGCCAATGCTTGCGACTGTTGATCTTTGTTACACCCAGGGTCTGATTGATTTCCGATATGACCCATATTCTTCACTTCAATAATTACAAAGTAGTTTGGTGCTATCACTACAAAATCGCTCTCACCTTCTCTGTTAGTTGCTGTCTTTTTGCACGTTTTACAGTTTCGTTTATCATGGGTTAAATCTCCCAGATAATATTGGAAATGAGTATATTCAAAACTATGAAGAACAATAAAATCTCCTTCACTCAGTTTCTCTAAAGCTCTGTATACAATAACCTCAGCCTCGTAGTTGAGTTGCTGGTTTCTATCATTTTCAAAACTACATCCGGGCTGATCTTCAGGGTAAAGGTCTACATACTTTTGTTGAGGAGCTCTGGGTAACATGATGGGATGTTTGTCTCCAGTTGAACAGTATGTTTCAAATATCTCATTTCCATTCCGCAGGTATTTCTCGTACTGTG